TGTAATCCCAGCACTTTGGGAGGCCGAGGCGGGTGGATCACGAGGTCAAGAGATCCAGACCATCCTGGTCAACACGGTGAAACCCCGTCTCTACTAAAGCTACAAAAAATTAGCTGGGCATGGTGGCACGTGCCTGTAATCCCAGCTGCTCAGGAGGCTGAGGCAGGAGAATTGCCTGAACCCGGGAGGCGGAGGTTGCGGTGAGCCGAGATAGCGCCATTGCACTCCAGCCTGGGAAACAAGAGCGAAACTCCGTCTCAAAAATAAATAAATAAATAAATAAATAAATGAAGATCATCAGGTCTTCTAGAAACATATATAATAGCCAGGTACGGTTGCTCTTGCCTGTAATCCCAAGACTTTGGCAGGCCAAGGCAAGTGGATCACTCGAGGTCCGGAGTTCAACAACAGCCTGGCTAACATGGCAAAACCCTGTCTCTACTAAAAATGCAAAAATTAGCTGGGAGTGATGACGGCTGCCTGTAATCCCAGCTACTGGGGAGGCTGAGTGGGGAGGATCACTTGAGCCTAAAAGGCAGAGCTTGCAGTGAGCCGAGATTGTACCACTGAACTCCAGCCTAGGCAACAAGAACGAAACTCTGTCTTAATTTAAAAAAAAAAGAGAATAGAAACAATCCAGAAGGGCTGTTCTTGCTTAGTGCCTTTTAAGCACCTGATGGAACTCTCTGGAAGCTGTGTTGGACATGGAGGCAGGTTGCAGTACAGTGGATTGCAGTCCTGGCTCATTAGGAGGTTCCATCAACCAGGAGCCCCTTTGTTTGTTACTTCTCTTTTTTCATAGTGGATAATGTCTATGATATTGTGGGTACTACATAGATGAGACTATATAGCATGGCCTCTCCCTTTATAAGTGGTGGCAGTAAGCATGTGTCATAACCACCATATAACCACAGAGCAAACAGTTGTCAGGAAAAACACACACACTTTAGTCCTTTATCAGTCCTCCTTCCTTTTTTTTTTTGAGGCATAGTTTTGCTCTTATTGCCCAGGCTGGAGTGCAATGGTGCAATCTCAGCTCACCGCAACCTCTGCCTCCCAGATTCAAGCCATCCTCCTGCCTCAGCCTCCCGAGTAGCTGGGATTACAGGCATGTGCCACCACACCTGGCTAATTTTGTATTTTTAGTAGAGATGGGGTTTCTCTATGTTGGTCAGGCTGGTCTTGAACTCCTGGCCTCAGGTGATCTGCCCACCCAGGCCTCCCAAAGTGCTGAGATTACAGGCATGAGCCATCACGCCTGGCCTACACCCCCTTTCTTGATGGGCTAGACTCTTTGTTCTTCCCTCTATGTTTAAATAATACAACCATCACCTTACAAGAAAAACCTTTACTAAAGTCCAAGGACAGGACAGGCATTGTGGCTCACGCTTGTAATTCCAGCAGTTTGGGAGGTTGAAGTGACCGGCCTGACCGACATAGTGAAACCTTGTCTCTATTTTAAAAAATACAAAAGCTGGATGTCCTGTTCCTTTTTCAAGCTTCTTAAATTGACAAAATGTTGTCATGATTGCATGTTTTATTTGCTTTACAATGGTTTTGTGTTCTCATTTTCATTTCAAAGACTTGATGTTACAGTAAGCTATCTTCTGCATCAATGAGGAAAAAATAAAACTGATATTTAAAAATGCATTTTAGAAATTTGTTGCACCAGTTGTTTTCTTAGCACTGCTAAGAGTTAGCACAGGTTTGGGCCAGGCACGGTGGCTCATGTATGTAATCTAGCAATTTGGGAGGCCAAGGCGGGCAGATCACCTGAGGGCAGGATTTTGAGACCCGCCTGGCCAACATGATGAAGACCC